TGCTTCATTATTGGTGTATAGAAATGCAACAGATTGGGTGCCGGGGTGGCTCAGTCAGTTAAGCATCTGCCTTCGGCTCAGGTCATGATCCCAGGGTCCTGAATTGAGCCCCACATCTGGCTCCCTGCTCCTTGGGGAGCCTGCTTCTACCTCTCCCTGTGCCTGCCACTCCCCCTGCTTGTGCTCTCTCTCTCTGACAAATAAATAAATAAAATCTTTTTTAAAAAAGAAATGCAACAGATTTCTGCACATGCATTTTTTATCCTGTGATTTTACTGAATTTGTTTGTCAGTTCTAGCAGTTTTTTTGTGGAGTCTTTCAGGTTTTCTATATAGAGTATCATGTGATCTGGAAATTGTGTGAGTTTTACTTCTTCCTTACCAATCTGGATGCCTTTTATTTATTTTTGTTGTTATGATTGCTGTGGCTAGGATGCCCAGTACTAAGTTGAAAAAAAAACTGGTGAGAGTAGATATCTTGTCTTATTCCTGACCTGAGAGGGAAAGCTCTCAGTTTTTCCCCATTAAGGATAATGTTAGCTTGGGTTTTTCTTATGTGGTCTTTATTATGTTAAGTTACATTCCCTCAAAACCTACTTTGTTTTGAGGTTTTTTTTTTTAATTATGAATAGATGTTGTACTTTGTCAAGTACTTTTTCTGCATATATTGGAATGATCATATGTTTTTTATCCTTTCTCTTATTGATGTGATGTATCATGTGATTGATTTGCAAATATTGAACCAATCTTGCATCCCAGGAATAAATCCCACATAATCATGGTGAATAACTTTTTAAATGTACTGTTAGATTTGGGTTGGTATAATTTTCTTCAAGATTTTTGCATCTATGTTCATCAGAGATATTGACCTGCAGTTCTCTTTTTGTTCTAATGACTATTTCTAGTTTTGGTATCAGGGTAATGCTGGCCTCATAGAATGAATTTGGATACTTTTCTTTCTCTTGTATTTTTTGAAATAATTTGAGAAGAAGGCATTAACTCTTTTTTAAATGTTTAATAGAATTCATCTGTGAAACTATCTGGTCTTAGATTTGGTTTGCTGGGAGTTTTTAAATTACTGATTTAATTTCATTGTTGCTAATCTGCCTATTCATATTTTCTATTTTTATGATTCAGTTTTGAGAGGTTATATGATTCTAGGAATTTATCCATTTCTTCTAGGTTATCTAATTTGTTGGCATGTAATTTTTCATAATAGTCTCTTATAATCTTTTGTATTTATGTGAATTTGGCTGTTTTTTCTCCTCTTTCATTACTGATTTTATTTATTTGAGTCTCCTCTCTCTATCCCTCTCTCCCCCTTCCCTCTGTTGATAAGTCTGGCTAAAGCTTTATCAAATTTGTTGATCTTTTCAAAGAACCAGGTTCTGGTATCATTGATTTGTTCTATTGTGGGTTTTTTTTTTTAGCATATATTTATTTTTTTCTGCTTTAATATTGTTTTTTCTCCAAATTTTTATTTGAATTCCAGTTAGTTAACATGCAGTATAATATTAATTTTAGGAGATAGAATTTAATGATTCATCACTTACATACAACACCCAGTGCTCATCACAAGTGCCCTCCTTAATACCTATCACCTATTTAATCCTTCCTCCTCCCCACCTCCACTCCAGTAACCTTCAGTTTGTTCTCTATAGTTTAGAGTCTGTTTCTTGGTTTGCCTCACTTCCCCCTCCCCGCCATGTTTATTGCTCATTGAAATCATATGGTATTTGTCTTTCTCTGACTGCCTTATTTCCCTTAGCAGAATACTCTTTAGTTCCACCCACATGGTTGCAAATGGCAAGATTTCATTTTTTTTTACAGTTGAGTAATATTCCATTCGATCTTTATACCACATCTTTATCCATTCATCAGTCAATTGACATTTGGGCTTCTTTCATAATTTGGCTATTGCTGATAATATAAATATTAAGGTGCATGTATCCCTTCAAAAAAAAAAACTTCAGTATTTTTGTATCCTTTGGGTAAATACATAGTAGTGCAATTTCTTAATTGTACGATAGTTCTACTTTTCACTTTTTGAGGAACTTCCATACTGTTTTCTAGAAAGGCTGTACCAGTTTGCATTCTAGTAACAGTGTAAGAGGGTTCCCCTTTCTCCACATCCTTGCCACACTTATTATTTCTTGTGTTGTTAATTTTAGCCATTCTGACTGATATGAGGTATATCTCATTGTAGTTTTGATTTGTATTTCCTTGATGATGGGTGATGTTGAGCTTCTTTTCATGTATCTGTTAGCCATCTGGGTGTCTTCTTTGGAAAAATGTCTATTCATGTCTTCTGCCCATTTCTCAACTTCATTATTTGTTTTTTGGGTGTTGAGTTTGATAAGTTCTTTATAGATTTTGGATACTAACCCTTTGTTTGATATGTCATTTGCAAATATCTTCTCCCATTGCATAGGTTGCCTTTTAGTTTTGTTGTTTCCTTTGCTATGCAGAGGCTTTGTATTTTGATGAAGTCCCAGTAGTTTATTTTTGTTTTCATTTCCCTCACCTCAAGGGACATATGTAGTAAGAAGTTGCCGTAGCTAATATCAAAGAAATTCCCGCCTGTGCTCTCCTCTAAGATTTTGATGGTTTCCTGTCTTACATTTAGTCAGTCCCTCTCATTTTCCCAACCAATGGCTTTGGGAAAGTGTTCTCCTTGTTCATATCCCTGTATGCTCCACTCTTTATCACCTTTCTCTGTAACCAGGGCTCCCTCCCCTCCACAGCACCAAAGATCTCTTTCTCTCCCAAACCACACCTCTGCACTTCCTACCTTCCTCAGTGTGGCACCTGCTCTCTTCTTAGTTGTGTGTCAGTTCTCAGGTTGATTTCTTGTGTATTCAGAATGATTTTATACTTATCTGGTAGTGTTTGAGGGGTGAGACAAGCCTAGGGTCTTCCTACTACACTGCCATCTTAACTCTCTCCCCTACATTAACATATTTGTGAGACATCTAAATAAACTCTCTAGATAGACGTAAATAAGAATAAGAATATTTTTTACCTAGAAAAGTTCAAAATATCTATAAAATCAAGAGCAGACTGAATACTTAAGGTTGAAACATTAAAAACAATTTGTAGACAAATTGTCTATGTTAACAATTATTGCACATTGAACATAAACTACATTTTCTTGACTTTAGTGTCTAGACAAGGGTGCTTGTTATCACCACTTTTTTTTCAACAATGCTCTGAAATCCTAATCAGTAATTTAAGGCAAGAAAATAAATTAGTTATGGAACTAGAAAGGGTAATATGATTTTATACATAGATACTCAAAACAACTTATGGATAAATCATAGAATTAAGTAAAAGGTTCTGTAAGGTGGCTAGATATAAATCTTTATACAAAATCAAATTGTATTTCTATATACCAAAAATTAATAGGAATAAAATGTAATTTTAAAAAGATATTTGAACAATCTATACCTTCAATGCCATCCTGATAAAAATTCCAATGACATTTTTCAAAGTGCTGGAACAAACAATCTTAAAATTTGTATGGAATCAGAAAAGACCCCGAATCGCCAAGGAAATGTTGAAAAAGAAAAACAAAGCTGGGGGCATCATGTTGCCCGATTTCAAGCTATATTACAAAGCAGTGTTCACCAAGAGAGCATGGTACTGGCACAAAAACAGACATATAGACCAATGGAACAGAATAGAGAACCCAGAAATGGACCCTTAACTCTATGGTCAAATAATCTTTGACAAAGCAGGAAAAAATATGCAATGGAGAAAAAACAGTCTCTTCAATAAATGGTGCTGGGAAAAGTGGACAGCCACATGCAGAAAATGAAACTCGACCATTCTCTAACACCATACACAAAGATAAACTCCAAATGGATGAAAGACCTCAATGTGAGACAGGAATCCATCAAAATCCTAGAGAAGAACATAAGCCGTAACCTCTTTGACATCGCCCACAGCAACTTCTTTCAAGATACATCTCCAAAAGCTAGTGAAACAAAAGCAAAAATGAACTTTTGGGACTTCATCAAGATAAAAAGCCTCTGCACAGCAAAGGAAACAGTCAACAAAACAGAGACAACCCACAGAATGGGAAAATATATTTGCAAATGACACTACAGATAAAGGGCTGATATCCTAGATCTATAAAGAACTTCTCAAACTCAACACCCAAAAAACAAATGATCAAGTCAAAAAATGGGTAGAAGACATGAACAGACACTTCTCTGAAGAAGACATACAAATGGCTAACAGACACATGAAAAAATGTTCATCATCATTAGCCATCAGGGAAATTCAAATCAAAACCACATTGAGATACCACCTTACACCAGTTAGAATGGCAAGAAACAACAAATGTTGGAGAGGTTGTGGAGAAAGGGGAACCCTCTTACACTGTTGTGTAAGAATGCAAGTTGGTACAGCCACTTTTGAAAACAGTTTGGAGGTTCCGCAAAAAATTAAAAATAGAGCTACCCTCTGGCCCAGTAATTGCACTACTGGGTACTTACCCCAAAGACACAGGTGTAGTGAAAAGAAGGGCCCTATGCACCCCGATGTTCATAGCAGCAATGCCACAATAGCCAAACTGTGGAAAGAGCTGAGATGCCCTTCAACAGTTGAACAGATAAAGAAGATGTGGTCCATATATACAATGGAATATTACTCAGCCATCAGAAAGGATGAATACCCAACTTTTACATCAACATGGATGGGACTGGAGGAGATTATGCTAATGAAATAAGTCAAGCAGAGAAAGTCAATTGTCACATGGTTTCACTCAATTGTGGAACATAAGGAATAGAATGGAGGACATTAGGAGAAGGAAGAGAAAAATGAAGGGAGGGAAATCGGAGGGAGAGATGAACCATGAGAGACTATGGACTCTGAGAAACAAACAGGGTTTTAGAGGGGAGGGGGGGGGGGGCATGGGTTAGCTCGGTGATGGGTATTAAGGAGGGCATGTACTGCATGGAGGAATGGGTGTTATACAATAACAATGGATTGGACACTGAGCAGAACCGGACCAGCAGCCACCATGAACAGCAAAGGTCAATATCCAACACAGCCAACCTGCCCTGTGCAGCCTCCTGAGAACCCAGTGTACCCTCAGAACTTGCATCTTCTTCAGGCTCCACCCTATACTTATGCTCCACCTGCCTACTCAGAGCTCTATCATCAGAGCTTTGTGCACTCAAGGGCTGCCACAGTCCCCATCATGTCAGCTGCATTTCCTGGCACGTCACTGTATCTTCACATGGCCCAATCTGTGGCTGTTGGACCTTTAGGTTCCACAATCCCTATGGCTTATTATCCAGTTGGTCCCATCCATCCACCTGGTTCAGCAGTGCTGGTGGAAAGAGGGTATGATGCAGGTGCCAGATTTGGAGCTGGGGCTACCGCTGGCAACATTCCTCCTCCACCCCCTGGATGCCCTCCCAATGCGGCTTAGTTTGTAGTCATGCAGGGAGCCAATGTCCTCGTAACTCAACGGAAAGGAAACTTCATGGGTGGCTCAGATGTTGGCTACACCATCTGGTGAAGAACCAAGGCCACCTCTGTGCCGGGAAAGACATCACATACCTTCAGCACTTCTCACAATGTAACTGCTTTAGTCATATTAACCTGAAGTTGCAGTTCAGACACATGTTGTTGGGGTGTCTTTCTGGTGCCCAAACTTTCAGTCACTTTTCAAACTTAATAAGGAACCATGTAATGGTAGCAGTACCTCCTTAAAGCATTTTGAGGTAGGGGAGGTATCCATTCATAAAATGAATGTGGGTAAAGCAGCCCTAAGGATCTTCCTTTAATTCCTCTGGAGTAATATTGTACCATACTGGTCTTTGCTCTTAGTTAATAAAACATCAAATTAGGTTTGGAGAGAACTTTAATCTTCCTAAGAATTAAAGTTGCCAAATTATTCTGATTGGTCTTTAATCTCCTTTAAGTCTTTTCTATTACTTGTTATAAATGAAACACATTTGTTGTCTGCCTTTCCATCCTTTCCATCCTTTGCCCCATGTCCCACCCTCACCTCTAGTCTCTTCCAGTTCCTTCCCACCAATCTCCATTCAATCAGTGGTGCAGGACAGAAAGCCAGTCAAACTAACTTCCTTCTCTCCTTGCATTTGTCCCCACTTGCCATCTTTTAACTAGTCTTCCACAAGGATCCTCTGAAACACCCTCTGTGCCCCAAGCCCAGGCCCCGCTACTTCTGCTTTTGCATCTCCTCAGGCAAAAGTGGAGGGTGCCTTTTGGACCCTCCTCATAGGTTGTTTCTTCATCCATGAACCAAACCCCAATTTGCTTCGGTGCCAGAAAAACAAAGCTCTATTTGAACAAAGGGTATCAATGCAAACTGTACTGTAAACAGGTTTGTTTAAAATGTGGGGGCAAGGAGGAGGATGCATTTCAAAAGCCTGATGACGTCAGAGCCAAATTAGGGGAAGTTTTCCCATCCAAAAATTGGTTACCATTCATTGTCAGAGTATCTGATGGAGGCCCTCATGGCTCCTGAGAATTCCTCAGCTGGGTTAATGGGGTCATGTTATGAATCCCTCACTACAAAATGACTTGAGTCCATTGAAATCTCATTAGGGTTAAGAATATTTCAGAAATCCTTAATATTTTGATTTTTGTTTTCTGAAATTGGATTTTATTTTATAATTTCAGTTCATCTAAATTTTGTGTTCTGTCCATGTGATGTTTGACAGTACCATTGACTGTTATGGAAGTTCAGCATAGTATGTCTCTCTCTACACTGTTGTGCACTTAACTTGTGGATTTTTTATACTAAAAATGTAGAATAAAGACTATCTTGAAGATTTGAATAAAGTGATGAAGTTACATTACAAAAAAAAACAAAAACAAAACAATGGATCGTGGATCACCACATCAAAAGTTAATGATGTATTGTATGGTGACTAACATAACATAATAAAATTTAAAAAATAAAATAAAAAGGTATTTGCAATTACATTAAAATGTAAATTGTACTTAACAGAAAATTTACCTTTATGAAGAAATTACAAAACATTATTAAAAGAGATTAAAGAATATTTAAATAGTGTTGATGTTATAGACTGAATTGTGTTCCCCCAAAATTTACATGTTGAAACCCTACTAGTATGAGTGTATCTGAAGATAGGGACTTTACAGAAATAATTAAGGTTAAATGAGGTCATAATGTTGTGGCCCTAATTCCACTGGACTGGAGTTTTTATGAGAAGAGCAAAAGACCCCAGAGATGTCTCTCTTTCTCTCTATGCATGCACATAGAAGAAAGGCCATATGAGTATACAACAGGAATGTGGTTGTCTGCAAGCCAGAAAGAGAGGTCTCACCAGAAAGCAACTGATGGCACCTTGATCTAAGATTTCCAGGCTCCAGAACTGTGAGAAAATAAATTTCTCTTATTTTAGCCACCCAGTCTGTGGTATTTTGTAGTGACTGCCCTAGCAAACTAACACTGGTGAGATATATGTTTCCCTAGAGTGCAGAGTCAACTATTTTAGGATATAGAAACTAGATTTTAAAAACTCCTAGATTCAGTTCAATTCCAATAAAAAATATTAGTAAGGTTTTTTTTTGGTGTAACTTGATAATCTGATTTTGAAATTTATACTCAAGTGTAGATGTCCAAAAATGGCCAGAACACATAAATAAGAAAAACATAGTAGAAAGATTTGCCTAGCCAGGTATCAAACATTTTTTTAAACTATATCAAGTTAGTATAAGGTCATGTTGAAAAGATAGACAGACTGATAAACTGAAAAGAATAGGGGACCCAGAAATAGAACCATATATAAATGAAAATTTGATGTATAATAAAATGGAAAGATTAGATTTTTCTATAATGTTAATATGACAATTGCTTGACCATATGCTTTAAAAAATTAATTTGAGCATGTATTTTACACCATGCATTTAAAATTTGATTTTAGGTAGATAAAAGATTTAAATGTGAAAAACCAAACTATTATCTTTTAGAAAAACACACAGAAGAATAACTTTATGAACTCAGAGAAGAGGAAATAGAAGATGAAAAACTCATAAATTCTAAAAATTAAAAAAGTAAATCATTTTAGTATGATTTTATCATATTAAAATTAATAACTTCTTTTCATCAAAAGGCACCATAGAGAAAATAGACAAACTTTAAGCTGGAGAATATATTTAAAAAAAATTAACTGGCAAATAACTTGTATTCATCACATAAGAACTCTTAACAGTAACCCAGAAAAAGTACTTTAGACATTGACTAACTGATACAAAATTTATGTGAAAATAACAAGGGCCAAGAATAGCTAAAATATTCTAGAAGAGTATGGTCAAAAGACTTCTTTTACTAAGTATGCAGACGTATTATAAGATACAGTTATTAAGGTGGTGTGAATTTGATGCAAGGATAGACAAATAGACCAATGAAATAGAATAGGCATGTTAGAATTAAACTGTATATATAATAGATATAGATAGATAGATGATGGTGGTAGGTAGATGCTAGATACTTGATAGATAGATGATAAATAGATAAAGGTGTCACTGTAGATCAATGGAGAAAGATACACCTTCAATAAATAATTATGATTCAGTTGCATGTCAACATGAAAAATAAATAAAATTTGGTCTCTACCTACACCATTCATGATAATCTATCCCAGGTGGTGTGTAGACAAAGTTGTGAAAGGCAAAAAATAAGGCTTTTAGAAGATAATGCAAAAGAATATCTGCACAATCTTGGGTAGGGAAAGATATTTTTAAGAACAGGAAACAATAACCTAAAAAAAGATGTTGAATCAAACTAAGTTAAAATTATGATCTTATATTCATAAAAGTAACCAATAAGAGAATGAGAAGACAAAACTGAAATTGGGAGAGGAATGATGTTTGTAACACATATCACCAAAAAAGGGCATATATCTAGAATATATTGAGTACCCATAAATTTGTATGAAAATAACAACCAACCTTATGAAAAATTGGACAAGAGATTTAAGCAGACACTTCATAAGAGAGGAAAACTGAATGGCAAATACATGTCTAAAAAGATGTTCTGTCTAAATAGTAAGTTGGATATGAAAAATAAAACCAAAAGGGGATGCCATTTTATATCCATCAAGGTGGCAAAAATGTTAAAACCATCATTATCAAGATTGGTGAGAATATGGACTAAATGTGTACATTTATACAATGCAGTGGAAGTATAAATTGGTACAAATCTTTAGAAAACAATTTAGCATTACATAACAATATTGAATATGTATAAAGCATCAGATGCTGCCATTCTGCTCCTAGGTATATATCCTAGGTAAGGTCTTACCCTTGTCTACCAGGAGATATGTCTAAGAACATTTATAAGAGCATTGGTTTTTGTTGTTGTTGTTGTTGTTTGTTTGTTTGCAGAAAAAAATAAACTGGAACTAAATCAAAGCCTGTCAACAGAAAAAGGTAAAATAAGTTATGGCATATTAATGTAGTAGACCACAGCTACACATTAACATGAATGATCTCACCAACCTAATATTAAACAAAAAAGAAATAATGCTTAAGACGTTACAGAAAAATTCATACAATATATTTTGTTTCAAAAACATGAAAAATCAAAGGGTGTTTTTAAGGAAAATTTTGATAAATGTGTAAAGAAATCAAGGGGACAGTAAATATAAAATTCAGGATTCTGAGTATTTCTGAGTCAGCAAGAAATGGAGTGGGTTGCTTGAGTGACACACAGGGCACGTCAAAGTTGATGCACGTTTTTGACATTTCTGTTTAAATGAATAGTAAGAATACTAAGCACTGGAGCTGAATCTCAATATTTTTCTCTAAGATGCTATATAAAGGCACAAGGGAGTGTGAATGGGGCAAAGAATCCAAATAGCAGCCTGGCTGAGTCTTAACTTTCTGAACAGGTTCTAAGCTACCTAAGAAAAAGTCATCAACATGGAAGGGCAACCACTGACCTAGATGCTATTCAGGAGCTGTGCATTCTGGCTGAAAGCTGTCAAAGTCTTGTCAATGTGTGGCCAACAGAGAGCATTTTGAAGGATGATGGCAGAATACAGTGCAAACGGCCTTGTCAGCCAGATAGAAATGTGCCAAATAGTGAGAAGACAGTTTAGTAGGTTATTGGGTTTTTCTTGCAGGATCCCCATGAGAGGCCAAAGCCTGGGCAGACTCTTGGTCACAAGCCCTGTGGACTGCTATTGCAAAACTGTCACACAATTTAAAAGGAATATAAAGGCAGCCCATTTGACTGGTGTTGGGATAAAGAAGGGGATTGAACAATTGAATGTTTTAGCTTTACAGGTATCATACTGACTTGAGCAAAAAAGGGGCATAGACACTTAGGTAAATATAATCAGAGTGGACAAATATCCACAGTCTATATCATTATTAACAAATAAGGTAAAATGTTTACTACCATGGGAGTTTCCATGTGTAGATGTGACTTTACTCTCTGAACTTATCTTTATAGTGTCATCTAATCTTTTTGTTTCTTGTTAATTGACCCAGAACTACATTACTTTTGGTTATGCTTCAAAGTATCCTTGACAAGATTTTAGTACCAGTCATGGTCACACTGGAGTAGTGTGTGTTCTTTATCTATGAATGTTATCTTGGGCCCCTAGCCATGACACAGAAGGTAAATAGCTCACTCCTGGGCTTAAACAGCATCATGGTGGACTAGAACAAAGAGAAATGAAAGAGGTCAAATTGTTTGAAGGGTTTCCTGACTAAAAATAGCATTTCATGCTGATCAAATGTATTGATCTTTAGTTGTTAGTTCCTAGAACAAAACTCTGATAAAAAAAATAAAGTTATACTAGACTTCTAAACATGTATGTTCTTCTAAAAGCTAACAATAACTCAATCTTATTCATGTTAACACAATTCCAACTAGTAGTGACTTTTTGAATGATAAACTTGCAACATTAAGAGAGT